GTGCATCTTTTAAATTAGGCTTGAACTTTCAGCACATAAAAAACTCGTATTTTGTAGTATTTATTTCTAACAAATATTTATAATCATTTAAAATAATCATCATTACTCTTATAGTGTTTTACTCAAACAACAAAGAAAACAGCAAAGAAAAGTTATAATCAAACATTATTACAGAACATAATAACAGTAATAATAACAATTATTATTAGTAATAGTTGTTGTACAAAAGATTTATTCAAGATATCTTAACTGACCAATCAGGAACAGAGGGAGGAACAGAGTTCTGAACTCTGAGATCTTATTTTACTACTTTTACTGATTATATATGGATCTAGATTTTATTTCTGAACTGAAAATGGCTCCTCTTTTATTTTCCATAGATAAAACTAAAACACTGTACATAGTAATTATGTAGTATCTGTTTTCTGTTATTGGTCTCATTAAATCGCTGCCTTGCAAAGAGTCTGTAATACATGAAAAAACAGAACAGGCCTGATTTCTCTCCTCAGTACAGGACGCTTTAAAATGCTCATCAAAGTTCACTGTTATTGCCCTACAGACTGTTATAAAATGGGCCCTTCATATTTTAGGAAATAACAAACCTTTCTAAACTGTGCCATTATTTCTGACCCAGATGGAGCTGAAACACCCAGAAAATCCAGTAAATTAATGTTTGGCTGTGTATTTACCACAATCCCTGTCAGAGTGTTTGTGATAAAGACAATTACAACGTTGTGTTGCAATTCACAAACACAACATTAGATACGTATACTAGGACCACATATGAAAGTGGCTCAGGTCGGATTTGAAAAGATCAGATTTGCGTTTCCACACAGCCCTGAAAACATCAGATCTGAGTCACATTAGGGAAAAAATCGGATTTGTGCCACTTCAACCTGGTAATGTGAACGTAGCCTTAGATTCCAGCCTGTGTGTGTGAACAAGTTCTTATTAACACAAATACAAAAGTTGAGTCTAACAGCTTTCCAGTCCTGCTTTTATTAACTTTGGTTTAACCTTTTTTTTTCATTCTGTTCTAATCGGTTTATGAACATGTTGGGATTGGAATGTAAGAACTGAAATATTAAATTATTGGTTCTGCTCAAAAAAAACTGATTCATATTTATTCAGTTTCTTGTCTGGAAAAATAGTCTATAAATTTGCTGGTCTTCCAGGTCATGTGATAGCTGAACTGTGAATAGCAGGAAAACTTCATAATGTGCAAACATGCAATGTTCAAAATTCTGCACATTCTGTTATAAACACAGGCTACATTGTTAGCTTAGCTCATTTTATATTCCAGCCCAAGAGTCTGATTTTTATTTTCTCACATGTCCGAGTTCATTTCTCAGAGCTTTCACACTGATTTCTAATGCTGAAGCTGATCTCAGTGAACAGTAAGTTCAGCTGTGTTTAATCAACCCAGTGATGCAGTTATATCAGCCCTACTGATCAGAACTGACTGAACTGCTTTTCTGTTGAACTGTTACTCTCAAATCCATTAATCAACATGTTCAGTGTGTAAATCTTTACATCCAAAATTCTCCATCATAACGTGACTCTGACTGATTGCTCTAAAATGTGAAATGAACTTGTTAGAGTTGGTGAACCTTAAGACTCACCTTTTAGCATTTTATTTGACAGCACAGCCTCAAAGATGGTTCTTCTATTGTTGAAAGCTTGATAATGTAACAATGACAGAACACCTTTGGGTGCTATATAGATCTGTTTTCAAAATGGTTCTATATAGAACCATATACAACATATTCTCCATCAATCTGAAGAACCATTTCACCATGCAAAGAACCAATTAAGCACACAAATGTTTCCATATAGAACTCATGATTCTAAATAGAACCATTGCCTTTACTAAAGTCATTTTTAAGTGTTTACATAAAGTAAAACATGCAAACATGCATCATTCATTATTAGACACTCATGTCTGTCTCTAGTTACGTTATATTCAGTAAATATTTTGATATTTATGGATATTTATGCTTTGACTTTACTTTGTCCTCATTCTCTCACTGATACAGAGTGAAGAGAGAAGCTCTGTAATGTTTGTAATGAGTGTAATTAATTTACACATTTATGCATTTTCTGCCTTCATCTTTGAAAAAGATTTGATGAGAGATGATCATGAATGTTGTGATTGGAGGTGAAGAACAAACAAATAACAAATCAGGTTATGCTGTATATCAAGTAACCGACCAAAGAAAAGTTACACTCATGATCAAAAGGACTACAGAATAAGTGTTTAAGTGTTCTGATGCTGCCTTATAGCGGTCTATACATGATAAATAAATGAAAAAGAGCTGAATAAAGCTGCAAGATACAGTCTGATTATTATTATTATTATTATTATTATTATTATTATTATTATTCATAAGTAATAATACGTAATGAAAAGAATGCCCTCTGGTGGTCAGTATGAATAAAAAAAATATAACTAAATACAATAAAAAATAGAAAATGTTATAAATCAATCAAAAAAGTTAAAATCATTATAAATATTGTGACAAACTGCTTATTATGATTTCTTTTTCTACTGAGTTCATAGAAAAACAGTATTTGAACAACAAAAAAGGAACATACAGAAAACTTGTCTACAAAACAAACAAGCAAACAAGAAATGTGAGGTTCATAGTTAAAATTACTATATTTTTATTATTATATAAAAACTGTAAATCCAAAAGAAATAAGTAAAAAAAGTATTTAAAAAATCAGAATCAATACTATAGAATATTAGTTTTATTACTCTTATTGTTGTTATTATTAGAGTTACTGTAACTTATATTCTATTTCTTCTCGTTTTTATTATTATTTATAATCACTTAAAATAATCACAGGCTTATATATTTTTTTACAAAAAAAGTATGAAAAGGGCACAGTAACAAGTAAAGTTACTGTTAAATACATTCTGTGTTGAGGGTCCTCAGGGGTCACACAGCAGAATTTTGGGAGAACAGTGTTTTCAGCTCTATTAGATTCAGTTCCTGAAGTTTAGTATAAACATGCACAAAATTATTTACAGTGCAAACAGCATCTTTACTGATTTACAGGAAGAACTGAAACAAAAACTGACTGACATCAAAAGAGAAAAAGAGATTAAAAGCTAAAGCCAAGCAGAGCTGACTACAGGATATACATGATCTCATAACTGAGTCAAGAGACACAGAGTAGAGCTCAAAACCAGTCTTTTCACTCTCTCACAGACTCCCCCCGAAGGAGAGCTGGACCCCCTTAATACAGCTACATATTACCCCCCATAAACTGAACAAACCACTGATTAATAACAAAAAAAATACATATAAAAACAGAAGAGAAACAGTGAAAATAAAGTAACACATTATAACAGAAACATTATAATGAATTCTACATTCAATTATTTTAAAGTATTGTTCATGTATTTATATTCACAACATTGATTCAACTAATTTTCTGCTGAACGTTCAGCAGTGAGAACAGACTGCAGATCAGATGCTCTGATTTGAACAGTACTGTTTTAATACAGTTTAAACCACTGAGCGCTTTTAACACACACAGCTGTTAATCAGATCAGTATATGATGTGTGTTAATCAGATCAGTATATGATGTGGATGTTAATCAGATCAGTATATGATGTGTGTGTTGATCAGATCGGTATATGATGTGGATGTTAATCAGATCAGTATATGATGTGTGTGTTAATCAGATCAGTATATGATGTGGATGTGTGTGTTAAACAGATCAGTATATTATCTGGATTCATCTCCACCCGTTTATTCTCCATATTAAACCAGCACTGTTTCAGCTTCATTAAAGAAAATAAAGCTGATCTAGACAGGCGTGTACACTTTCCTGTTCTGTTGCTTGCACTGTAAGCAGGAATAATTAATAGATTTTCAGATCATTCTTCACCGAGAAAACTCACCATGTTTAATCACTTTATTGAATATTATTGACGAACACCTCAGTTTGTGAGAATGTTTTTAAATCACCCATGAATATGCTGATTCAGCAATTATACAGTATATGATAGAGTCTGAATAAGTGTGAACAGAGACTCTTCAGCTATGCTGCACTGATCACACTGTGGGAATGCAAACTGTATACTTAATTTAGTTTCAGAATAAAAAAGCCTCTGGAGTATCTTACTGTGAATGAGATGAACCTGTGTTATATTCTGGATCAGCTCTCTAACAATGTTTCCTCAAAAACTAAATCATTCAGCTCTCAGGTCCAAAGCTTATTTAAGGAGACTTGTATTCACAGGTAATATGAAGGAGGAGACAGTGAGAAACTATGTATGGAACCAGAGTGAAAGGAACAGGTCACATAGTGGTTTAGTTGTGACCTAGAAAATGTTCTCTTGAATATAATGTTTAATTTGCAGGTACTGAGAAAGACTAAATGTAAGTCTGAGTTGAGTCAAAGAAACTAACCTGTTATCTACAAAGAGGCAGTCTATGCATTTTAGGCATCTTTCTTTGCATGTAAAAGCTGCACCATCTAATTAGGATGGACAAATAGGAGGTTATGCGATACTGAGGTGAGTGGAGACTGATGATAACTCAATGAAGCTCTTTATCTGATTTAAAATTCCCAGAGTTCCTTAGTACAAGACCGCTTCATATCAGTGTAGTAGAAGGTTCTACCTTTGAGTAAAGTAAAACTGGAAGGGAAGATTTTAACTAGAACAGCTTTAGTTTGTACCACAACCATGAAGCATTGAACAGTGTCTCACCTGGAACACCTCATAGCCAATAAGTGACTGTTCTAGCATTGGCTGATCAGTAACAGGGCCTAAACACTGGAAAACCTCCAGACTGCTGTAGATTTTTATAGGTGAACTTTAAAATGTGACCCCAGACGAACAGTGAGATAAATGCAATTAACTGTGAAACACAGAGGAACCTTAGGAGAGTAAGCAGCTTAATTACAAAAAAGCTTGTTTAACCTCAACAGTTCTATTTGTCTTAAAATTAATGATTGTATGAAGAGAAATCAGTCTTATTGATCAGCTTCATAACAAAATATTCACTTTATTTGGCTCAACACTCAGTAACAGCTAAGACTCGTGAGTATTCTTTTTAAAAGAGAGGGAGTGAGTACAGATGAGTACAGAAAATAAAAATGCATAAATACTGTTTTACTGACATTAAAGATTCTACCAGGAAAGAGAAAGAAAGAATAATGACTGCTTCTCAACAACAGCCTTGAAACACGCAGAACTGTACTAAAAGAACAGCTGATCTTGGACAAGAAGATGTTTTTTCTCTTTTGTTTACAGTTAGGTCTGCATGAAGACTAATTTAACTGAAAGCAGTTCAATCAAATCTCTTCCTGGACAAATTGCCGTAAGTGTCAGACCAAAACTCTAGGGTAAAGTACAGATCAATAAATTGGGTTTTGTGCTAACAGGACAGCAATAGTTGCCCATAAAACAGTCAATTAAAACACGGAATAATATCTTATATTGGGAGAAAAGTAATGGATTAGTGTAGTGGATTTATAAGATTTTAGTACATATCAGTGAAGATCAGTGTAGTCCAGTACATCAGCCTATATACAGTATATGTTACATGTTTTGAATCTTTTGGGTTCTAATGTTTCTTAATCGATGTAACAGAAAATCACCGTTACAGTCATGATGTTCTAATGACATCACTGCAGCAACATATTATCACTGCATCATCACAATATCACCAGATCTCAAAGCGCTGGTCTGAGAGGAAACGCAGTCTTTCTGTGATTCTGTTGCTGAAGAGTCTGTAGGGACAAAACATACATGAACACACACAATCCTTTAGTGTCTACTAATAGATCCAAACTAACAAACACTAACATACTGCTGTAATACACTGCCTGGCCAAAAAAAAAAAAAGTCACACACACTAATATTTCGTTGGACCACCTTTGATTATATTATAAGTACTGTAGGTTTAATTACAGCGTGCATTCGTTGTCGCATTATTTTGAGAATCTTATGCAACGTCACAACATTTACTTCCAGCCAGAGTTGCATTAATTTTTGGCCGAGATCTGGTATTGACAACGGAAGAGTGGAACCACCATGTAAAGTCTTCTCTAGAACATCCCAAAGACTTTCAGTGGGGTTAAGGTCAAGACTGTGGTGGCCAATCCATGCGTGAAAACGACTCCTCATTTCACAGTTTGAGGCCGACATTGTCACTGTCATCCTGGAATACTCCTGTGCCGTCAGGGAAGAAAAAAATCCATGGATAGAATAACTTGGTCATTCAGGACATTCAGGTAGTCAGCTGACTTCATTTTGCTGCCAAATAACATTGCCGAACCTGTTCTGACCACTTGAAGCAACCCCAGAGCATAACACTGCCTCCAGAGGCTCATATAGTGGGAGCAGGTCTGCATGGTGGCAGATCACTTCACGTGATTTGTCAGGTTTAGGCTCAGCAATGTTATGTGGCAATAAAATTAAGTCAGCTGACAACCTGAATGTCCTGTAAGACCAATTAATGGATTTTTGTTCTCTGATGGCACAGACATATTCCAGCACAACAATGCCAAGATTCATCCGACTCAAACTGGGAAAGAACCCAATTCCAGTAATTTCAGCCTCCTTAGTTGTTTTCTTTGCTTGATGTGGGCCAATAATTTGACCCTTCTGAAACACAGTTGTTTAAGAAATTAGCTACTCATTGCATCAGAGCGGGTTAAAAGAATTGTTGTCAGCTGAAACATATTAACCACTGCAGTAATTATCCAATCTAAGGCTCTTAAGTATTTGCTCGTTTAAATCCAAACAGCAACTTTTTTCTTTTTGGCCAGGCAGTGGACATTAAACTGTAACAAAACACACACACTTACCGAACAGTCTGAATGTTGCTGTTAGTGGAGCCAATATCGTAGATTCTCTTTGCTGAGACGTCAGTAATGTAATTGTCGCTGAGACTGAAATGAAACAGATTACAATTACCACACTGTCCTGATTCCCAATGCATCTCAAACATTTAGCCACACTTTCACACAAAATTACCAAAAATAAATTTTTATTTTCTTATTTTGGACTGTACAACTATGTATATATAGCATGTATGTATTATTTACTTTATTTAATTTTTCATTCATTTTACAATTAGACCCTCCCTCCCACATCACTCACTCCAGGACGTTGATTTTGTGCAGGTGTGGAAGCAGCAGCTCCAGGCAGTGGTCAGTGAGCTGGCAGTGGCTGAGGTCCAGTTCTGTCAACCCTTCAGAATGTTCCAGAACCAGCGCCAGTGACCTACAAGCCTGCAGGTCCAGCTGGGTTTGACTGAGGTCCAATTCCTCACCCAGAGCCAGACAGAGAGCCACAGCACGTCTCACACAGTCCAGCTCAGTCCCCACAGGGACAAGAGACAGAAACTGAAGCAGCAGAGCTTTACTGCAGCTGAGACAGAGACAATATTCACAAACACATACAGTTAAGAAATGACACATTAATACACTCACATACAAATCAAACTAAAATGATTTTGCCCCGTTCTCTCATGTTACATATTCATTCATCTTTTCTAGAATGTATATATAGTGTTTGTGGTGTTCTGAGTGAGAATCTTACTGCAGAGTGACTTTGTGTAAAATGGTGAAGAGCTGCTCCACTCCAGTCTCCTCTATCTCACAGTCCTGCAGAATGAGCTGTGTGGGTGTCTGAGCTCTCTGGATGGTCATGGAGATGACTCTGCAGTCCTCACTGCTCAGAGTGTGTGTCTGTGTGTGTTCTGTAAGGTCCAGAGCGGAGCTGCAGGAGAAGTCCAGCCTGTGCTGCAGAGTGGAAAGCAGAACTGCTGCTGCCCCCTGCTGGAGCTCAGAGACACTGCAGCAGTGGAGCAGCCTCAGCAACAACAGCCTGTCAACACTGACACACACAAACACACACATTCACAGTCAGTGACAGATAACTGCCATATAACATACACAACTGATCTAAACTGTATACTATATATATATATATATATATATATATATATATATATATATATTATATATAGTATTTCACTGTTAGAAACAACAACAAAATCTTCCAAGGCAACTGAACCAAGAACCTCCGAAATAAGGCAAAAGCCCCCAATAAACCCATGTATGAGACCACTTGCACTTATAATGTGAAAAATATCCTCTTTGTGGGTCATTTTGATTGTTGAGCTAATAGACTTATTTTTTTAGATATTTGTACATGTGGACGAATGATACTGAATACATGTCAAAGGCACCATGAAAATTTTCCCAGAACGACACATTTTTCTGATTTAAGTGGAACAAACAAGATAACTGTTATGTTAATAATATCCACAAAATAAAGAGATTAGTAATTGTTTATATTAGAGTGCTACTCAGAATTTATATGTTATTTCCTATTTCAAAAGATAGTTTCTCTGAGGTGGGAGTTAGCAGTCACTTAGCATCCTGCAGTCTGGACCGTTTGGTTCTGTTACTTAAAAAGCTCAAACACTCATAATGGTGCGTTTATTGAAAAGACACATTTGATCTTACAGGCAAACTCACTAGGTACACTGACAGTATTCAAGTCAGTATCAAAGAAAGCTACGACTGATCAGTCAACTAGTCGACTTCTTTTATTAATAGTGGTTCCCAGTTTAAATATTTTTAGTTTTTACTCAAATTAATATGTCTGTTGTTCATGTATTGACAAAAAAATAATAAAAAATCAATAAAATGATTACAACTTTTTTTTTTTTTTTTGCAATGAAATATTTACTGGGTTCATTGAGAATATAGGTAGACTTAAAGTATACAAGTGGCTATTGAAGTCTGGACCAGACTTTTCATCTTTTTGTTCTTTATTTAATTGTTTTTAAATCATATTAAACTTGCCTGCATAATCTTTCATTTCATTATAAGGCTTTTGCTAAATACTGAACAGTGAATATGAAAAATAACCTATGTTTACATAGATTTAGGTGGGCTTATTGGGGGCTTTTAACCTACATTATATAATTCACCATTAAGAGCACTTTTTTCTGTTGGCTTACTGTCAGTCTATTAAATAGTATGAAAAGTCCAAACCTGAGATGGGAGACGTGGCTGAGTAGAGGCACAATGCTCTCCAGCTCCCCCTCTGGTATGGAGGTCCACAGCAGGCTGAGAGAGACTGCAGTGCAGTGCTGAAGGGTGAAGCGCAGAGCAGCACAGTGGACAGAGTCCAGCTCTCTGCTGTTCAGGTTGATGCAGTTCTTTACTGAACACAACACGCTGGGGACACAGTGAGCAGAGCCAGTCTCATAGATCTCTCTGATGATGAGCAGCACAAAGCTGGAGCTCAGCCTGTAAAGAGAACACAAATACAAACATGCCTTTATCCCTTACACACACACACATCTTCAGCGGGGGGTGCTGGAGCCTATCCCAGCTGTCATCGGGCGGAAGGCAGGAAACACCCTGGACAGGTCGCCAGTCCATCACAGGGCAGACAGACAGACACAGACATTCATTCACACACTCACACCTAGGGGCAATGTAGCATGTCCAATTGGCCTGACTGCATGTCTTTGGACTGTGGGAGGAAACCGGAGGAAACCCACGCAGACACAGGGAGAACATGCAAACTCCACACAGAAAGGACCCTGGTCGCCCTTCTTGCAGGCGCTTCTTGCTGTGAGGCGACAGTGCTACCCACCACGCCACCGTGCCGCCTTTATCCCTTACTTTTATTCTCAAATTTTAGTAAAAAAAAAAGGTAAAAACACATAAATGACTTCAACAGACACTGTGTTCCTCCACACATGTCTGTGTTTCTCTTACCTTCTGAGCTGAACTCTGTCCAGAACAGACACAAGTTCTTTGATGTGCTGCTGTTTAATGTTGATCTTCCTAAAGTCCGCAGTGACAGTTGTCTGGCACTGAGAGGATGGACTGTGTGTTTTAGTCATGGTGGTAACTGGATGAGAACTTTTACACGTCAGACGCCCAAACTGAACCAATAGTAACTATTTAGTATTAGCCTGATATATGTTTGTAAATTGACTTTGTATACTATATTGATGTTTTTATATTGTATTTATATCTACCTTCACAAAACACATTGAAACATCATGATGTTTGTATTATGACAGTCACTTAATACATTATAAAGAATGAATGGTGCAGATCTGTAAAGGAATTAATCTGTGTATCTATCTAAAATAATACAAATTGCAGCATACGTTTTACTTACCAACAGTACATATATATATATATATATATATATATATATATATATATGCAAAGTTTGAACGCCTCAACAAATACAAAAGTTTGAACAAAAGAATATGAAACATATTACCACCCACTGCAAATCTCCAAATAGAATTTAAAATAAATATTTTAATTCAAATCTTAGTATTTAAATTAAGTGCTTAAACAATAAATAAACGATAATCAGTATTTACACTATTTGCAGCATGTTTCACCACTGTCACTACATTTTATATTCCATTTTAATTTGTACTACAGTCATCACAGATGTAGTCTGTGTCTCCTGCAAGCTTTTAAAACAGCTGTAATGACACCATCGTGGGCAAAGCTCACAAACTAAATGTTTGAATACAGACACAGACATTACCATTGTTGGTCATTAGTATAACTAAATGATACCAAAATAATCTGTCAGATGTGAATTTGACTTTAAATGAAAGAAAAGACAGTTTAAGATAAAGTAATCACAGAGTCAGTGTCCTCTTGGGTTTTTATTTCTTCCCCACAGAAGTGACACAAATCACTCAGGGCATCGAGTAAAACATCAGGCCAAGTGACACAGATGTTACTGTTCATCAATAGGGCTGTTTTGTCAACTTCAGAATAAGAATAGAATGAAACCTTTTCAGCTGATACACAGTTTTGACTGTTACCTGTTGCTACTATTTTCACATAGTACACTGTTAGAAATAAAGGTTCTATACAGGTACATTTTTGATTCATCAAGGTATGAACAATGTAAATGTACCCTCAAAAGTACAACAGCGGTTTTAAGGTCCAATTGTGCTTAAATTCCTTTTTTCGCAGGTGAAAAGTACATATTTGTAGTTTTTCATAACCTAATATTTTAAAACAGAACAATAAAATAAAAGGCCTGGAGACGAGACGGGGTGTGTGGAGTCAAAACAACTTACAAAATATAATTTCAATGGATTATGGTACTGTGTTCCCTGACTAAACGTGCTGAGATGTAACCTTGAGGGTACCAACCCAGTGACAAGAGGGGTCCAGCCCTGGTGACAGTTTACTACCTTTATTTCTGAGGATGTAGGTCTAGAGGATCACTTAGCAGTTTTCTGAAGAAGCACAGTGACTATTTCCCTTCTTATGTCCTCCACACATTTGACACTTGTGGAAAAGCAAATTTCCTGAATTATTTTCCAGTGATGGAACAAATAAAAGAATAGTGTTTTCTTGTCTGGAATACACTCAAAAGGCTCAGTTCTAAACTGATTCAACATATTCTCCACCAATCTAGTCTTGAGTCTAGTCTAGAACTCTTTACATCTTCATCTTATCACTAGCACATCTTTCAATTTCTGATATGTTTCCACTGTCAATTAACTGAAGCACTTCAAGTTCAAGATGGTAGAATATTTGTCATCTTACTGTAAACTGTATATTATGCAGTATTTGTCTGAAGACACTGTCATTGCAAAGTAAAATAAAAAATTAGTATGAACAATATACATCAAGACCCACTGTCCATTGTAATGGACAATACAATTTATAATAATTCTGTGTTGAGAGTTGTGTTATTAACAAACAATGAAACAAATAACATCATGAGAAAAGCTGTTTTAATTAAGATAAAAAGACTTAAAATGAGCCTGTACACTGTATCTTCAGCTGCAGTGTTGCCATGCCTTATTTCAGTGTGCTGATTTTTTCCCAATGCAATAGGAGGGGCTAAGCTGCAGTTTGATTGGCTAGTAAACAGCCATTCTGATGGACAACAGGTCTCAATTGGTGTTAGGTGTAGCAAAGCAAAAAATAAAGAAGAATACATACAAAGTCCATTGCAGTGGACACAGGGTTTGAAAGGGTTGAAACACAAAAACAAACAATGTTATTAACGAGGATATCATACATATTCAATGTAGAGGTTGAATTTAGTTGCCTTTTAAAACTGTACTGTTTTTGTTTTGCAGAACAGATTAGTGTCTCTTCCTGTTTGTCATTAATGACTATAACTAAGCAAACGATCAATCTGCTTTGACTCACATTAGAGTTTCAAAATGAAGCTGACAGCTATATAATAATTGGCATCTGGCAGCTCTTCTACAACTTAGCTTTGTTCTTTTTTCAACAATCATCCCCCAAAATTATCATGTTTATTTATAAAAGTGGGAAGGATATGTTTCCCCCGTTCCCTTCTGAATTTGCACCAGTGCTTAGAACACGCCCTGTGATGGACTGGTGACCTGTCTAGGGTGTATCCGGCCTTCCACCCAATGACTGCTGGGATAGGCTCCAGCTAACCTTCTGCCTGCTTGTGATTCCAGATGTTCGACATTTCAGACGTATCAGTGTCCACGTCCTTCTCAGTGAACAGTCTACTGTAATCCTAAGTGATCAGGTGTGTGTAGGATTCACGACCTGGCAGAAATGAATCAAGACAAGAAGGTAATTTGTTGCTTAATGACACAAATAAGGAGGTTCAGCTGCACTCACAGGTCAAATATAACAGCTACAATAGCAAATCAGAGCACAGACTCCATAGCAATGCTTCTCAAACCAGTCCTGAAGACCCACAACATAACTGATTAACAAGCTGTGTCAGGAATGTCAGGAAAACTGTGAAAACATGGGACCACCAAGACAGATTTTAGAAACCCCCGTATTACCAACAGTGAGTACTTGTACAGGTGTGATGGATTAGAGCATAAACCTGGGTGGTCTTTAAGTAGTTTGAAAACCCCTAAACAAATGATCCTAAACTAAAATGACATCAGCACTTTTCAGTTTTTCTTTGTCAGCTACAGTTTAACAGCTTCACAATTACAGATATTAATAACAGACATTATAATTCACTCCTTACACTGCAAGAGTTCACATGTGGGCTCACACTTTAATTCTCTCATAACTACATAATCTACACTAAAATATCTTTGAAAATTTAAGAAGAGTAACACGTGCTGGGTGGTACGAATCAAATTCAGCAACGCAATATTTTAAAAATGATCATAGTTTAATGGGATCATATGATATTTAATTTTATATTAACAGAATTAATGACTCAGTTCTGTCTGAGTTCTTCTACTCTGTGCTTAAAGAATGTGTTACAACACTAACACTTTACAACAAGAGGATATCATGTAACGGTACTTAAGAGAGTAATGAGTATTACTAATTACAAAGTAATCCCACAACTAGTCTTTAGCTAATTACATAAATAAAATCCAGCATTATTTTAGATTTTATTAGGTAGTTTATCATTATTACTAAAAGATTAAATTATGTGTGAATGAATCATTAATAAATAACAGTAATGATGACCCATATTGTTTTAGATGTCACTAAGTACTAAAAGCTATTAATAAAAGGTTAAATAATATCGTGATTAATCATTAATGATAATTAGCATGTTATAGATTTATAGTCTATTAATGTGTTATTTCATTTGGCTCAACAATTGAACAATAAACACTAAAGAACGACTTATGTCTATGATAATGTCAAATAAATTCTTAATTAATAAACAAAATTATGAACATTAGAATTAGCAATTCATTTTAAGCAATTCATAGTTCTTTTTTTTTGGGGGGGGGGCGACTCAAAATGAGTTTGAATCTCATTTTAGAGAGTATTAGTCAGTATATATGAATATATTATTTATTTGGTTCATTGACGTGCTGATAAGAAATGAAAGCTAAAATCAAAATGGTGTGTCCCAAACCGCACAGTAACACCCTAAATAGTGTGTAAGAAACAGTGCAGTACCACTAGAAATGCACTCATTAGTGTAAAAGGTGAAGTGTAGAAGTGATTTTGGACGCGTTTAAAAGAACAGCAGCTACAGCGGCTGATTAAAGCAATGAGCCCAGAGATGTGCTGTCCTCTTCCCCGAGATAAAATCGCAGTAACGCACAGCCTCAAGTGGCTATTCGCTTTTATAAAACAGCGACCAACATAAAATATAATAAAATACACTTTTTCAGAAAACAGTTGAAGTCATGATTAATAATAATCGACATAAACAAGTATTCCGCCAAGAAATGTAGTTCCTTTAAAGTTTGGTAGCGTTACTAAGCAACCGTGGACCTCTGAATGCAGAGAAGACCGTAAGGTCGCCCATCGGTGTATATTACGGTCATTTCATGGACTTTTTAACTTTGTGTCGTATAACAATAAACACATCTTAACACAGCACTGTTTATTTTAAAACGTGCTTTATAAGTGCTTTTTGGTCACCAAATTACCACTCGAATCTTTTATAGCGCTAATCTAACGGTGACCCTCCTCTCACGCTGGGGCTGAATCTCAAATGGCGCCCTGCTCCCTACATAGTGCACTACGTAGGAATTTAAATATTGGCTCCTGGCAGTCCTACAGCACAGAACACAGCTAAAAAATAGACACTGAAATAGCCATAAAAATAATTTGGGATTCAAATACATCCATACTTCTCAAATAGTGCACTATTTGTCTGCAGAAGCTACAATTTAAAAACCTACTTAGGGAGCAGGTGAGGCGTTGACGACACTTCTGACAGAAACACAGACTTTTGAAGTCTGTAAGCCATTTAAGTGACATTCTTTAGACTTTTTATTGCCGTTTTACAGTGAATCTTATCGTAAGCATTTTAATTCCAGCCTGTGATATCAATGACGGAGTTGTTTAGGCTGTTTTAGTTGGGAAAATAAGTTATAAGCCCATAAGTTTAAACAAAAACAGGCTCTTTCTTCATCAGTAA